TAGAATCCCAAAACCTTCCAACCCACCAATTCGGATTTCGCTTCCAACATTCCACTGTCCAACAAGGACTCCGACTTGTTGACCACATATCCTCAGCCCTAGAAAGCAAAGAGTACTGTTCGGGGGCATTCCTGGATATTGCTCAAGCTTTTGATCGGGTATGGCACGCCGGACTGCTCTTCAAGCTCAAATCCCATCTACCCCATTCCTTATATCTTATCCTCCGACCCTACCTCTCTGATCGCTCCTTTCAAGTTCGCTATGGTACAGAATCCTCCAACTGCCATTCAATCAAGGCGGGAGTTCCTCAAGGCAGCGTCTTGGGTCCCGTCCTTTACATTATGTTTACCGCTGATATTCCTACTTATTCTGAAACACTCCTGGCAACATTCGCTGATGACACAGCCATCTTATCTTCCAATCCAGATCCTGAAATTGCATCCTTAAACCTACAAAGTCACCTCTCTCTTATTGAACACTGGTGTAATAAGTGCCGAATCCAAGTAAATGAATCCAAATCCAAACATATTACTTTTACCCTTCGACGCAATACCTGTCCACCAGTCTGCTTCAACTCCATACCACTTCCTCTGTCCGACACAGTCCGGTATCTTGGCTTTATTCTAGACAAAAGACTAACATGGAACCCACACACCAGACTTAAAAGGCAACAACTTAACAAACGATACGGACAACTATATAGACTATTGAATAGAAAATCTCAACTCTCAGTCGACAACAAACTATTAATCTACAAGACAATCCTGAAACCTATTTGGACCTACGGAATAGAACTGTGGGGGGCAGCAAAACTTTCTAACATCAAACGCATTCAATCCTTCCAGTCTAAAATCCTCCGAACAATAGTCGATGCTCCCTTCTATGTATCCAACAAAACCCTCCATAATGACCTTCATATCCCATTTGTTATTGACCTAATCCCAGAAAATTTTTCCAAATTTCACCAGAAACTCATTCATCATCCAAATCCTGTAGCACAATCCCTATCTAGCTCCAGTCATCCCTACAATCCTCCCCGGAGGTTAAAACGGCAGTGGCCCCGCGACCTTTTGTAAATATGTACATATTGGAGTACTGGCAATGGCCAGATTCTCCACTCAAGCCACATGAGCGTCTGTTGCTATAGTGCCCTCCATCAGTTTCCACTGGTTTTAAATAACAGTGTCGCGGCTGAGAGAGAAGCACTGGGATCTCCTGGAGTCCTGCCTTGGCTTCCACGTCGGGGAATAAGGCATGACTCAGAGTCCCCTGGGTGAATGTAAATATTGTACATAGGTGTGAATGTGATTTATTTGCTTTAATTTCATCTAGCTTTTATCTATTATTTCATTATTTTTTTTTTTATAAACAGGCATACCAATTTACTTATTTTATTTTTTTTATATTTATTTTTCTTTATTATTGATATTAATTGTATTTACATATTGTGTGAATGAATCATGTAGCCTTAATATTAATGCCCTTCAATGTGGCAGAATGTATGAATATTCAATAAAGAAAGTTAAAAAAAAAAAACCTCTGATCTAGAGAAAAAATTGCGCTTTCGTTCCCAGGTTAGTCCTCTTGTGGTGTTTGGAGTATGTAATACCTCCATATCTTCATCATCTGCTGAGGTTAAGGTGAAGCTGGGTTCAACGAAAAATAGAAGCATATATGAGTTTTCAGCCAGAGTATTACCCGGCATAAGTGGAAATTTCCCTTCGTTTGCCGTGTACCAAGAAGTATAGAATAAATTTGCGTCAATAGATCTAGCAGACTCTCAATTTCATACGCCAGGAAAAGTTGATTTGCTTCAGGATGCTGAGATGTACGGTGAGGTTTTAAGGGACCCTGTTTTATTTCTCAAGGATCAACCAAAAGCTATTCATACCTCATTCGGATGGGTAATATTTGGGGACACCCTTTCAGAAAGCCAAAGCCCTATACATTCTATACGTACTTTTTTCACGCAGACCAGCCCTTCCTTACAGGAGGAAATAAAACGATTTTGGGAGACTGAGGAAGTCACAGTTTTGATTCCGCCAAATCCTGAAGATGCATTTTGCGAAGATCACTTTATAAATACATGCACCCCTGATCTCCAAGATGGATTCGTTGTTTCGCTTCCGTTCCGTTCTGACCAGCCGATTGACCTCGAATCCACCAGAGAAATAGCTCTATGCAGATTTAGAAATCTGGAAAATAGATTTAGGAAGGCTCCGGAATATAAGTCTGCCTATGCTGCCCAGATGGATGAATATATAAGATTGGATCATGTCCGCCTCGCCAAGAACCCTTCTCCATACGTCATAACCCATCATGGAGTCATTAAGGATTCTTCCACGACAAAACTTAGAGTCGTATTTAATGGTTCGGAGAAGATGGTGGGAGGGAACTCGCTCAATGGACTTTCTTTTGACCGGTCCGCAGCTGCAGACTGATATTGCGAAACTTATTGATCATTTCAGATGCTTTCCTGTGGCCTTAACATGCGATATAAAAATGATGTTTTGTATAAAACATGGTTATATTTTACCGTTTTTTTGGGGGGGGGGACTTCAGCCCGAAAGCTCCCCCCGTAGATCCGCCTGTGGTATGCCCAATACTAAAAGAGTTCAGAATAGCATTTTTAGGTATGCAAGATTTTATGGAAACGATAACAATTTTAAACGGCCCAGACTACAGAAATCTTTATTTGTATTGAAGAATATCCACTAATTATAAATGTGAATTAGCGAGAAAATATAGTTTAGAATAAGAGGTAAGTTTATGTTCATTTATATTTGTATATTATGTAGGTATATTTTTATTTTTATATTTAGAAAGCATTTTTAGTTAAAATTAAGATTTTTTTTTTAATCAAGCAGATAATATTGCAATTTGGGATCTTGTTATATTAAAATTGTGAATTCTTAAAAGATAAGATATCTCCACGAATAAACTAGGCGAACGCCCCGACAGACGAACATTGGTTCATTGTAGATAAATCGTTTAATTATATGTAAAAAAAAAAAATGATATTATGTACTTTTTAAACAAACTAGCTGATGTTCCCATCGTAGGCGGGTGTATAGTTAAAATTTGAGAATCTTTTTTTGAGATGGATATTGTATTATGAGGGAAGAAGGAGGTTAATTTCATAACATTGGGTGAGGGGGAAGAGGTAATTTTAATTTTTACAAGTTTTTCTTCCGATTTCCGGCTAATCCATTTGGTTAATCCTAAAACTCCACAACAGGCAGCTTTCCAATCTTATCTCTTACCATACCTGACTCACTAACAGAACCAACTTTGGTTGCCTTTATGCCCTGAAAGAACTTCCTTGTTTCATTCTTAAGCCTTGCTTCTTCTATTTTCTAACTTTTCTAAGTCTCAACACTTTCATAGAATGTCTCCTTGCTTCTTGGTACTCTCTGCGATTCTGACAAGTGTCTCTGTTCAGGTATTTCTCTCTCTTAATATTCCTTATCTTTTCACATTCTTCATCATACCAGGAAGTGGGAGTAAGTTTTTTTTTTTTGCAACATTGATCAGCAGCTTCCTCTATTACTTGATGAAGTGTGTTCCACTCTTTCTACACGCTCCTGCCATCTTCACTTACTAATATGTTCTCAACCCCTCTCTCTCTCTATGCTGTTTTGAAAAATACTTTTTATATTCACTCTATTTACTTTTTCTTTGCCCCTCCTGTGCCCTGGTCATAATTTCTTCTGTATGTCAGATGTATGTGGCATGTCAACTTGGTAACCACCAAGAAATGTTCTCATATTACATTGGAGCGTGGGTAGGTCCGGATATCATGCACATTGTTGAAGTACTTATCTGTGACAAGAATGTGGTCTATTTGAGTTGTTGCTCCATTTGGAGAAGTCCAAGTTCCGTGGAATCGTACTGTTTACTACTAAGGAATTTGCGGTGGCAAAATTTATCAAGCGCTCTCCCTTGTCATTAGTGCGGTCGTGCATGCTATTTTTACTTATTGTTGGTAAAAACACTTCCTCTTTGCCAACTTGAGCGTTGAAATCACCCATTATAACGAATCTATGGTCCTTTCCAGTTATTCATAAAATTGTTCTTCTCGGTCTCATCTTTTTTCTCTATTCCTTCATCTTATTCCTACACGTCCCTGTACATTTATGATAGTCATATTACACCTACTACCTTTCATTCTAAGCTTACATATCCTATTACTAATTGGCAGGAAGTCCAAAACTGCAGATCTTATGTGCTTCGACACTACAAATGCAGTCCCGAAATGTTTTTCTTGGCTGTCACTATAGAAGAAGTCAAACTCTTACTTGCTTACTTTACGGCTACCAGTCAATTTCACTTCCTGTGTTGCGGTGATTCCACTTTGTTGAAATATTGAGGCTTGGTTTCCGAGCTGAAGTAACTTAAGTCTTTTTACAGGGGTGGGCAATGGATCCTCCCCTAACCCTCCTCATTTCTCCCCTTGGACTGGGACCAGGCTATGGCGGAGTTTATTAGATAAAAATCCGCGAATAATAAAAGAAGAACATGAAAAATTAAGAAAAACAAATTTATTAAAACATGTAATACATCTAAGAATTGACAGACCCATCTACACGTAAAATTATCATTACCCTCAACAATTCAAATAAGATGTAGATCTAGAAATAAAAACGTTCCTAAATAACGGGATAATTCACCTAATAATAGTCCAATATGGGTGGCACCTCAAAAAACCTGACGCAACCGGTAATGGCAAAATAAGATTGTAATTCATTATAGAAAATTAAAATAATTCTGAAATAATTCCAGACTAATTTCCACTGCCAAACATTGAGGATCGAAAAAACTTAACCGATCGAAATATTTCGCAACTATTGACTTAGCCTCAGGCTTTCATCTGATTGAAATCTTTGAATTATTACTCATACATTTTATTATAACAACTAACTTCTTTTCAATATTTTCGCATATATCTTTTTGACCATTTAACTAATCGATATTAACCCAAAGAGATGGGAACAGTAATAATGCAGTCGCCGTACATTCTCTCCTATATACATCCACTCATCAATTTAACTGATTCGTTTGTGAACTTTGATATTGTTATCACTAAAGGATTTTTAAACTCCTTGATGAGAGTGTATATTTAGTGGTCTTTAGTTGTTAGTTTGGAAATAGTATATTGCTGTCAGTGTATGAAAACGATAAAATGGCTTTTTCTGATATTACCCCAACTCCAACTATTGTAAGTTAAATTATTGTTTTTATGTTTACTGCATAATTATTATATTTTGTTGGTATTGAGAGCTACTAATCATTAAAATTGACTGTCTGTAGACCTACTGAAGACTCTTTATCGTTGTTTTATAAAACCTCTTCCTAAATTTTTTAAACATTTTTCCCAGTTCTTACTCTCTGTACATAATTTAGAGTATTGAAACTCCTTAAAAGAAGATAAGGAATATTATAGCATAAACTGAAGTGATATGGGCTCTGTAATGGTTGGGTTGTCTAACTTGCGAGTTAAAAGTTATAAAACATTGATTGATTTTGGAAGTTAATAGTAAGTTTAGATAAATTGGTTGCAGACCTATTGATTATGTTACACTGTTATTTATCTACTTTATTTATAAGTTGCTAAACATTACAAAGCTAACTTAAACCTTTCTTAACACAACTCTATGTTTCTCCTTTTATTTATATTGAGAACTAATTTTGGACTTTTCCTGTCTTTTCTTTTAATATATCTTCTTAAACTTACTTGAGTTCATTTTTATGTTTTTTGCTTCATCCTTTACCATTAATATTTAAATACATAGGTATTTCCTCTTCTTCCTTTTTTTTTTTTTTGAGGTTTAAAAACTGTTTGGACTGTTTTTTGTTTTTTTACTGTAAATGATAATCTATATGATTGACAAGTAATTATGGAAGAAACTTTATCATGATGATTACTGTTAGATTTTGGTAAATTGATATTGTTTTTACCAAAGAAAAGGGATCTGTTGTAAAATTTTTAAGAAGTTATAGGAATATAGGGAATTTTCCAGAATTGCTTTGCCAATTATTGACATTGAAAAAGTATCTTGGTATAGTCATCCGAAAGAGTTGAATAATTATTTAGGAAATTCTAAGTCATCAATCTATAATAACACTCAGTGTTTCAACTGCCTCCCGCAGTGCCACATCCTACGCCCTGAAGACGACCTGCAAAGTGGGTCGAAACGTCGGCAAAAATTAAAATAATTTATATATTTTAATTTTTTATTTATTTGACCGCACCCTCGACTAACTCCTTCTCATATTATATCAACGGTCAACCATCTCTACATCATTATAAATGTTATTTTGTTTAAAATTTATTAGATGACAGATCTAATTTTTAAAATATTCTTTAAGGGATTCAAATATACCTAAATCCAACTAACTTTCAATAAATTAAATAATGGACCCAATTTTAATCTCAATTATATACTTAAATCCAATCATTGAAAAATCAATAAGTCTTTTTAAATTATATTGCTGATTTGATAGTCACCTATGATAAAATATCTATCAATATCTAAAATTCTATTTAAAATACTATAAGAAACAATCACTTTGTAGAAGGTGGGCATTAATATGTAGTTTATAGGAAGATAATTGTTAAATTTTTATAGTAAAGACATAATGTGTGTATTAATTAAATAAGATTAAAACTCTGCCACTGCATGTATTTCTGCTCTTGTAATACAAATGAAATCCATTACATTTAAGTTAACATTCAATGCACGAGATCTTGGTCACTACGATGAACAGTTTCAACAAAGTACACAAGCTGAAATGGTTGGCAGTAACTTGAGGCAGTTGCTGCCTTCTGCTTTGGTGGGCAATACCAGCTGTATAGTACCTTAGGGAAACAGTAAGAAAATAATCAATGTTGAATATTTAAACTTAGAAATTTATTCCATTTAATATATGAAATAGGTATAGTTAATCATGATTATTCAGGAATAATAAATTTTATTCATCCATAAATTAAATTTTAAAAATACTTAATAGAATATCATTTTATAAATTCTAGAAAATGTTTTATGACAAATCCACATACAAATTAGGCTTATCTTTGCAATGAGGATAAGTTATTATCCATAGAATTAAAATAGGAGCTTTTTATAAAAAAAATAAAGAAAAAAAAATCGATTTTATAACTTCACAATAGCATTTCCATTTATTTCATACTAGCAGATGTACCCGTCGTTGACGGGTGTATAGTTAAAATTTGAGAATATTTTTTTGTGATGGATATTATATTATGAGGGGAGGGATCCAAATTTAATTTCATAAAATTGTGTAGGGGGGTTGTTTTGAATTTTTTTATGGGAGGGTTTTAGAAGTTAAGGTTTCGCTATAGTCATAATAATAACTTTGTTATTCGGCTATTTGTTTAGCTGCCACACAACTAAACCGACGACCACCAATCCATTAAAATTTTTAAGTGTTTAATTTTCATTTATGATGAAGCGAGGAGTTTGTGGAGTCGATTGAATTAATCAAAAAGAGTTGTAGTCTCTCCAATTCTTTAAACTCTGCTGAGTTTAACGCGAGCAAAATAACCGAAATAACATTGGACATTGAGTCACCTACATCCATGTAAAATTAGAACTTGATCTGAATATTGTGGCATAGGGGGTGAAATTTGTGTTAGTTTTTTGTCCTATTTCCGGCTAATCCTAAAAATGTATACGACATTTGTTACGCTCGACAAAGTAGAAAAATGAGTGTGTTTTACAAGTGTTTTAAGCGACAACGTGTTACAGATGTTCGGGATTTCGGATTTTTTCCCGTTGAGTTGTAATAATTTTTTCCATCAGTTGAATAGAATAAATTTTAAATGTGGCTTGCGGTGGAGTAGGTTGGGATGAGAATCAAAGTAAGTAACTGCCTAACCGGGGACTATTACTGACATACGGGGACTGCCTAACAAAGTTTTTATTATGACTATTGCGAAATCTTGACTTTCATAAGCCCCCCATAAAAAATTCAAAACAAACCCCCCCAATTTTATGAAATTAAATAAGGATTCCCCTCCCATAATACAAAATCCATCTCAAAAAAAGATTCTCCAATTTTAAGTGTACACCTGTCACTGATGGGCATATTAGCTAGTTGTAAAATAAATGAAATAATGTAAAACATCAGCCCAACAACAACAACTCCCATCCCACCCAATTTTATGAATTTAAATTGGGAATCCCCCCCCCCATAATACAAAATCCATATCAATAAAAGATTATCAAATTTTACACCTGTAAACCACAGCTACATCAGCTAGTTGTAAAATAGTTTGTTCAAAGTATTATATTATTGGGGTTAAAAAAAAAAAAAATTAGTTTTCTTATTACAATTGATCACTTGAATAGTACAACTTTTAAGTGTGGCTCGTGGTAGAGTAGGTTGGGATGAGAATCGAAGTAAGTAACTGCCTAACCGGAATCTAGACAAATTACTCAAGAATTCATAACTTAGATTCTACTCAATATTTTGTTTTCATTTAAAGGTCATATTTTAAATCAAGCAAACTTAAATATAATGTCTAAATTTTAAAAGTCTACCATTTGTCATTGCTGAGGTTACCCCTGACAAAATTTTAGACTATGCGGACATACAGGCAAAAAAAATTTTAGTGGATTTGGTGTCTGTAATGTATGAAACGGAAAGATATCATGAAACAGGTTGATTCTATTCAATGTATAGACAAAACCTTTATTTTATTTATATTGATTTTATAACCTCATCACCACTCATACCCATTAATATCAGAAGTATCATAGGGACATAAAAATAAACAGAAAAACTGGAAGCACTTATTTGCCAACCCAATACTTACAATTTAATTCAAGCTTATGTAGAGTCAAAATATCCGAGTTAAAGCCTCGGACTTAAAAACGCATATCGGTCCTTAATTTTTTTATTATTATGTATGTAGATTTCTCTCATGCTATAGAAGCTATAATAGAACATATAAAAAACTATAATATAATATATAAAAGCTATGTTATTTGTTTATACATTCTAGTTATGTTATAAATACTGTTGGATTAGTGAAATCAAAAGCATTGAAATGGTAAAAATCGCCTAAGTTGAGTGCAGCAGATACTGTTATTGAAATACGCCTTAAATTCCGTACGGTTTAACAGCCGCTAACTTTCTCACATATTAACGTGTCTATATGAGATAAATAAATTAATAAAAGGCTTAGCGAACCCGAAGGTTCGATGCCGACACCACCAACCGTATCTACACACCTCCACCGCTCGCCGTCCAAACCTCCTTCAGATCGGCCTCAATCTTCCTACCTTCGCTTCGGTCTACTCCTCGGTCGTTTACCAGTCGGCACAGCAAATATTAACCTTTTAAAAATTCTTTCGTTACTAAGTCCAACATTTTTACTAGTCCATTTAATTTGCCGCGATGTAATCACCTCAATTAAAATGGCGTATGTCCCTTTAACATTTAAAAAATCCATTATTTCCTCATTATATAAAAAAGGAGATAAAAATTTGGCTTCTAATTACAGGGGAATCTCCTTAATTAATGCAATTGCCAAGTTATATACGGGCTTGATTTTGGCTAGATGTCTGGACTGGATTGATGAAAACAATATAATTAAAGAAGCTCAGGCTGGTTTTAGAAAAAACTATTCAACAATCGATAACATGTTCACAAATGCTATACATATTTGCGTAGCGATACTATTGCTTCAGTTTGGGGTTTAGATGATTTGACGAAACCATTTAGTATTGAATCGGGTGTAAGAAAAGGTTGTTTGGTTAGTCCGATTCTATTTTCGTTATATATAAATGATTTGGAAGAAATTTTAGATGGTGGTATTTGTGTTGAGGAAAAATTTAAAATTAAGTATCTGCGGATGATATTGTTCTCCTATCTTCACATCCAGCGACATTACAGAATAATATAAATTTACTAGACGAATACTGTAAAAAATGAAATCTGAGAATAAATCTCGAAAAATCTAAAATAATGGTCTTTCTCAATGGCGGTAAGCCATCACGTAACGAAAAATGGTTCATGGTCTCCAAAAGTATAGACATAGCACAACAGTACAAATACTTAGGAATAGTTCTCACGCCTACTCTCTCCAAGCACCTGGATACAATGTCCAAACACCTGGCAGAAAAACTGGAAAAAGCCAAGGTGGGTTTGAATTTGATTTGGCACCAATTTACGGAAAACAAAGATATAGGT